CCAGCTTGGGGCTCGGAATATTTTGGGGCTGAGGATTTTGGGCTTCTTGTCCGGGGCTTTGGGTTTGTCGAGGCTTGAGGTTACTACGTTTTTCAGGCTTTGGGTTTGGAAGGTCTGATACGGGGGCTAGCGAGGGCCTAGTAGCTAAGGAGGCTTTGCAGCTCAGGGTTGCTTTATGATGTGTGGTCCACGGTGCATGTCGGGCTCCGAAGCTGGCACGCCGCATCGCCAGTTCTGCTGCCTGCAAGGGTTTATCATTGCTTGTTCAGTTGCGAGCTAGTTCGCAGTCTCGGCAGGTTGCATTACAGCACAACCACTAGACACGACATTATGACATCCGTAGCAGCTGATGGCAATCCCACTCGGCGACTCTGTGTTAAAGAAGGCTGTGGACGGTTCAGTTTTGAGCTAGAACCATTCTGCTGCCGTGGGTGCCGCAAGAACAAGAGACACACGAAGAAATGCTCGAGAAGGAATCCTGAAGCTGTTGCTCTGGAGCCTGTCAAAGACTGTCCGAATTGTGATCGCAAGGTTGTGGCTCCACATATGCATTGCTGCTCGGTCTGCCGTATTATGCCTGGACAGCACAAGACAACTTGCTGGGCTAGGGCCGAAGCTGCAGGGCGAAAGTTTCTAGATGAGCTGGACTGAAGACTGAAGCTTGCTCGGCAGCTGTGCAGAAAGTCGCAACCGAAAGCCCTAGAAAGCCAGTTTAGGGTTTGGGGTTTGGGGTTTAGGTTTCCCAATAGCTAGCCAGGTAAAGGCTTCCCAGCAACCGCCCCAAACCCCGAAAAAGCTCCTAGAAAGCTAGCTAGAAGAAGCTCCGAAACCAGTGCCCAAAAGCTCTCAAAAGCTCCCGAACAAGCAAGCAAAAGCTTCTAGAAAACCGCCTTGAAAACGAGAGCCCCAACTGAGAGAGGCAGAGAGTTAAAGTAAAAGACCCTAAACCCTACTTGGAGGTTCATGGGCAGTTATAAGTAGGGTAGCTATAGTTATAACCTATATTAGGGGACTTATAACTCCACTTATAACTACCCATGAACCTCCAAGTAAACCCTAAACCCTAAACCCTACACATGTGCAGGGGGTTTTGTAGGTTTTGCGAGGGTCTGCAAGGTTTTTCGG